TGAATTTAGATTGACTAGCTGGAAAATTAATCCTTTCTTATTATAATTATCCAAAAATATTCACTTGTATATAGCACAGGATGTATAGCACCACGTTTAGCAACACTTTAACTTTAACAAAATTTCAACTTTGAAGCACATTTTAAAAAATTAATATTTAATGTGAAACGTCTAGCCCTTAAGAGAGCTGATGAATGAATGATCATCATGATATTTTTTTGTTCCTTCATATGATCGCGGTCAGAATATCAGGAATAGTCTTCTTTTTCCACCGTCGTCGCAACATCCATTCTCTCATTCTCTTTGCTTTCTTCACGTTCTTTTTAGCATATTGAGCATTTTTTTTTTGGGGTGATGTTTTGACTGGTTGTCTAGATTGACTGGATTCATTTTAACTTTGGGGTTTGTGGAAGGGAGACTTGATTTGGAAATGTTAAATATTATTTATTTTCAACTGTTTATGGTTTGTTTCTTTTGATTTTTTAAAAGACATCCATCGAGGATTGATCTTCTCAATACTCATCCAAATGCTTGGAGTTCAAGGAACCATTGATAAATGACTTCAAACTGCTTTACAAAACTTAATTGAGCCTTTACAGTTGGGTTCCGAGATAATTTTTAAACAGTTGAAACAAAGTAGATTTTGAGGAATGAATGCAAGGCTGGGCTTTTTTCAGGATTTTTTTCTCAAACATCCGAGGTAAATAAAGCACCCTAAATCCCACCCATTGCTACGAGCCTGCTCCTCTTCTTAATTTCTTTTAAACCCCTATAACTGAATAGCACATGGACTGATTAAAAATGCGCTAGATATACCCAATAAAAATTCTTCTGAAGACTTTGATGCGCGTTCTATATTTTTTCTGCCATGGCACATATATATGCATTTAAAAAAAAATCTCACAACATGGATGTATGAGTGTTTGTTCTGTAGTTCTCTAAAATGAAGAAGAAATTTCTTGCTTGATAAAATGCCTCTTAAAGTACCAATTTCTGGCCAAGCAATTGTCTTGAAAGGTTTATTGGTGCAAAACCTTAAGAATTCTTTTGTTAAACTTTCGCTTTTTTGTTGCTGTGCACATACACATCAAGTCTTGTGGGCATTTCTGATGAATAAATTCATATTTCATTATCTGCAATGTAAATTCATGACAATGTATGTTTATGGATGCTTATGTATGTAAAATGATTGCATAAGGAATCTCAACTCATCTCTAAATTATGTCCTCATGCGTCGCACAATTCATCATTTTTTTTGAGTCGTGCATGAATTTTGGTTCTATGATAATGCTAAGGCATGGATGTTTATGTTGACTTAAAAATTTACCTAATCAAATAACTCTAGAGACCTTATTTATTTTATGCTTAGTTTTTTTTTTTTTGTTGAGGATTCTTAAAGGTACGCGTCGCTATAAAGAAAAGTAAAAATATGAAAGAGTCGAGCACATAAAAGCAAATAGACTTCTTGATGATTTTTCATGCATTTATCAAGCAGATACTTTCTGTCCGTTGATGGAAGTCAGGAATGATAATTTTTTTGAATGTTCGAATGGTAATTAAACAACATTACCTTTAGAGAGATAGAGTGATATGAGAAAGGAATGAGAATTCAATGACATCGATGTATGTTGGGAATAATATTATGCAATTCATTACAAGTAGCATAATATTTTTCAGCAGCAACAGTCATAATCAGTGTTGATATCTTGCTGTTAGCCTGGAGCGAGTATCATCAAAATCAGATCTGTCTATACCTCTGATTTAGACACCCAGACGCTATTAACATCTTTTAGACTTGATACACTCTAACATCCAGACGTATTTAAGATCTTGACTGTCGTGGGTTTAGTGGCATAATCATAAGAGGCAAAAGTTAAATCCTGCTATCAAATTTCTTCAATTTTCCTAACCTCAAATTTTTTTATTCGACTTACCAATTTACGTAGATATCTATTAAGACAGTCAAAGTAACAGTGCCTGAAGAAATTATAATTTCAGACCATCTTGTGTCGTTCAAAAATTCTTGATTAAATGATATCTCAGTGAGACATGATCTAGATGTTGTCTGAGTGATCCACGTCATCCGAATGTACATCCAACATATCAACACTGATTACAAGAAGTTAAAAAAAATCTCATTAAAATTCATTGAAGTTCTTTCTTGATTTTATAAAAGGACATATTAAAAGCTTTTTTTTTTCATCTCATCATGCTATTTTAGATGTTTCAATGCTGCATACGCCACATTATTATTCCCTTTAAAGAATGAAATAAAGAGTCGATATACCCAACCTAGTCTTGTTGGTGAAAAAGATTTATTCCATTTTGAAACAAGATTTATTGATAAAAAGAGGGGAAAACAGAAAAGTCAATATCAATATTTATAAAGTATCTCCACGTATTGGTTTGGTATGTTATATATTATTATTATTAAAAGAGAGAGAATAACAAAAAAATAAGAATTTCAGAAAGGAGCGAAAAGGAAAACGTGAAATTTTTATATGGGCAAAACATGTTCCTCAGAATTGCAATGCTCACTTCAGTTGCTGCCTTGCCTGCCTGCAATAAGAAGAATCTTTGTCAGTTGAATTTCGCTAGGGATCGTCCATAAGTGACATCTTACATGTGAAGGGCTAAGATGTTCTGAGAGTATGTGTCCCATGGGACAGACAAATGTGAAAGGAGGATGGAGGTTTAAAATTTTGATAGACATAACATTTGAACCACCCTCAACCACTTTCTGTTCTTTATTAAAGATTCATATATGCTCTTTGATAAAGAACATTACATGTTTTTTAAATGTATGCCTTAATTCAGTGTTTCTTAAATGTTTCTTAAATTTTTTTGGTTCAAGGCACACAAAATTTCATTTTGAAATTTTAAAGGCACACTAGGAGCCATTTTGAGATGATTTAAACGAAATTCTGGAAAGTTGTAGAACATCAATCGAGAGCCGTTTGACACAGCTTGAAAACCTCTTCTTAATCACTTATTAATTACATTATTTATGCTTTTGGACCCGCATTGATGTCATTAGCTTGCTAGAAATTGTAACGGTTTTTGTGAAATCTTAGAAGCCACGTGGTCGTACTTCATACTTATTTACTGATCTCCCATGGTAGCGTGTATCTATAATTTCCAATCAATATTTTATGTAGCGTTCTAACTTCCATGCATGTACACTTCTTAAGAACATACGTTTACTTACTTCATCATAATTAACGAGAGAAAAAGAAAGATAAAACCTGCTTGCATTCCGTCAATGACTGACTTTTTTTTTTAGAATCAATTATGTGCATTGTATCAGCGACAAGTTAAAAGAACAAGGACAATAATAAACGTTGACGATTGCAATTAACTTAAATGGGAAAAAATGTCACTTAAAATGAAGGAATCGTTCTTGTTCATTTACCATGTCTCTTGATTTTAACACGTCTCATATGAATTTCTGCTTAATTTAATGATTGATTATTTTTTGAGAAAGCTCGAGTCCCTTAATGGGAATTGATAGATCTGCTAGGCCACAAATAAAGTTATCAAAATTTAAGGAAATTTAACGACTTTAAAAAAATTCAAATCAAATGTAAAATTCAACTGGTGTTTCGGGTTGAAATCTAATCGGGTAGAACGGGTAGAAAGTCTTGTTTTAACAAGACAAGCTTTGTTCAGCATATGTTTAAAGATTTAAAGCTTAATGGATGTGCCAAACATTCTTTACAAGTTTTCATTCAAAGTTTAATTTTATAAAAATCAAAGAAACCTTTAGTTTTTAAAAATCTTAAGACAGAAAAGTTTATTGCTGTTTTAGAAGCAATGGCTGTTCCTACCTTGCCCAAAAACAATACAGCTGTTCTATAGATAAGCACGAATCTTATACAAAAAACTAGAAGTCTCTACCATGACTCGTTATTGAGATTTCTTGTTGATTAACTTGCTTGTTTGTTTGCTTCCAGGAAGCGTATTTTGCGATTTATTCAGCAATGCTTCAAAAAAAAAACAATGCATTCACACATGAATACGGTGTGAATTTAAAATTTTATTGAATCTTTTTTAAAATGTTAAAAATTTAACGACTTTCTTATGGCACAATTCATCAGAATTTATTTGAAGTAGGTACTTAATTTTTTGATAATATTCATAATACTGTCTATAGAACTATCTCTATCTCTAGCTTCAATAATTCAGAAAGAATTTTTAAATCCTTTAAATTATTGGAAAAAAAAGCTTGGCTCAATTCATAACTGAAAGAAACTCTTCATATATTTCAATTGATCGTGAACTGTCTTTAAATAATATTCCTATATCAAGTTAAAGCAGAATTCCTACGTATGATTTTGATTTATATCACAGACGGGTCTTAAATTTCGTTATAACTTAAATACATCAAAACCTTTTTCATCCAAAAATTATAACGAACTTGGGGAAAGTTGGGAGGAGGGGAGGGGGGGGGGGGGGGGAGCACAATGATTCAGATTTGAAAAAAATGTTCAAATAACCCTTGTGCATAATATTTTTCAGACACATTAAAGTAATGAAATTTTTTTGTTAATATTCTCTAGTTTAGGACTTTTAATGCCTTTAATCTTACTTGATTATTGATTCCTCAATAATGATTTCTCATTTAGAATCGAATTTTCGGAAGTTAGACAACATATTAGAATGAGATATTTTTACAGAACATAAAACAAATTATGTTCTTTAATCCAGCATTTAAAACATAAAGTTTAATTAACTTGTTATTTTTGAATTTTTGAACATTTTTTTCAAATCTGAATCATTGTGAAGGGGGGGGGGGGGTGTGAAAGGTAAATATATGTTTTTTTTTGCGTAAAATATTGCATTTATTAAATCTTAGATTGTATTATCAATATTTAATTCTGAATATCATAAAAAAGCTCTGCTTTTATTCATCTGTTCAAAATAGGTCTATTGCTTTTTAGAAAACTTTGAAAAATAACAGTCAAAATATATTTGAAATATTAAATCAGCGCCCTATCAAAATTTTCCCGACTTTTAAGAGTAAATAATTCACGAGGAATTGAATTTAAAAAATTAATTTTAGTGGTTGTTCCTTAATTACACTTTGTCAAATGATTATACTTAACTTAATTAAACGAACAACATTTGCTGCACAGCTGTTAAATCGTTCAATCTTCAATAATAGCTTGTATAATGGGTAAAATTTAAATTTAATATTTGTGCCGTAACTTAATTAATCAACAATTTTTTTCAGAATTAAATACTGTGTAACACGTAATATACACTTAAGTCAGCCAGCCCATGATATAAATGAAGATGTTAACAATAAATTAATGGAATTCTTTGATGTTCCGAAGAACTGGAATGAAAATGAAGTTAAACATGGAAGGAGCTGGAATTTGGCAGAACTGCGCATAAAATCAAATTCAGATCTTCATAAAATCTGGTTTATTCTACTTAAAGAGTTGAATATGCTTAAAACTATGGAACACGAATATAAGAGGGAATGGAAATGGTGGGCGAGTCCAGAAAGAATCGATAAAGTTCAGGATTCGATGAAGAACATAGAAACAGTTGTCAGGGAAAGGAACCAAGCATATCATATGCTTGAAAGTGGAACAGATGGCGAACAACCTGGACAATATATAACTAATGCTTTGGGATTACGAGAATATAAGAAGTCAGTTGAGCATATTGTTCCTTATTGGGCAAATAAAAAGTGGCGAGAAGCGAATCCAAGAGGATGCCACGGACCAGATTATCAAAAATTCATGCGATTGTATCGTGAAAAGATATATAATGACAAACGAAAGGGAAGAAATCGTGATAAGAATCATGTCATCCGATTATTAAGCAGGTTCCCAAATCTAGATCGTAATGTATTAAAGGGAAAATATCCTCAGATCAATTTTGATACTCTTAACAAAAAGGATTTATATAGAGGACATTATGTACCAGATGTAGAATAAAGTCATTTATTAGATATTTAGAAAAGTAATTATATCTTTATTAAGAAGTTAAGTTCAATGTCTTTCTCGTTGACATCACTTAAGACCAATTTTTGAATTTTATCGAAACAGCTTTAAATCCTTAAAATAGTCCTGGATATGATTTTTCTCATAAGGCTTTAAAGCCATACAAACAGCTAAGTTTTCCGGCTGTTCTATCCACATTTTATGAACTATTCCAGCTGATTCGAGTTTGCTGTGTAGATCAATTAATGCTTCCTCGTTGTCTATTCCTAATACGCATTTGTGCATCCTATCCAAATTTTCTTCACTTAAGTAGCTTCTTGTAAGCGTGTCATCTTTCGTTAACTCATTAATCTATCAATTAAACATTGTATTAATTCAACTTCAATGTTATAAATTAAATCAAGACTTACTGCTGCAACGGCATGACAACTGTTGGCTATAATAGCACCTAGATTCCATTTGAGGACCTTAATTAGATCTTTTCTAATTATTATATACTGAATTAGTGTCATTTTACAGAGAATCTTTTTTGTGTTTATATTATTAGGGATCAATCACTAATTGACGTGCGAATCAAATTGTTAAAAAAGTTTTAAAAAACATAATAACTGTTGATTTGATTTTGAAATTGATAACGAACTTTTTAAATTTGAAGTATTTTACAGCATTTTTGCAAAACAATAAAAAAGGTAAACAATACAACGTGCGGTTTAAAATTTGTTAATAATTCGCGATTTAATTAGATTAACATGAGTAATAAGAAGGATATCTATAAGGATGAGCGATTTGCTCATCTATTGAGTAATCCACGATTCAAGAAGCTTCCAAAAAAGGAAGGAAAAGTGAAAATCGATGAAAGATTTAAGCCAATGTTTGAAAATGAAAATTTTAACATTCAGTACAATGTTGACAAGTACGGCAGGAAAGTTAATAAGAAGTCTGCTGAGAATCTTAAGGATTATTATGATTTAGACTCAAATGATGAATCATCTGACGAGGAAAAGCCAGAAAATAAAGAAGACGAAGTTATTCCTGGAAATGCAATTATTAAAGGCGGAAATAAACTTCCAGCAACGCTTAAGAATAAGCTTAAAGACCTGGAAATTGGTAAGTATTAGAGCAATTAAACGACAAATCTGCTAATCAAGTAGATTGACTATACATGGGTTCTTGTGCTTTTCACATTTTACTTTTTCAAATATATCTCATGCAAGATTCAATGAAAACTTTTGAGACTTGAACAGCAATTTGTACAAATATTCTTGAATCAAATAAAACAAACAAACAAAATGTTTGTAACAAGACATGACAATTCATGACAAAGGTAAAATTATCTATTTCAAATGCTCATATATTGGCACTGACAGTTTCACAAAATTCAAAAAGGTTGTCTGCCTTCACAAAAACTCTATACATAGTTGAGTACATCACTCAACTCGTTAAGATACCGTTTTACTTGATAGACACATGACAAATAAATTTTATTAATTAAATTCATTCAATTATTTAGATTATATCCGTGGAGAAGGAATTTTACAGTCCGACAGTTCAGATGAAGAGGAATCAAGTAGTGAAACAGAAGTAGAATTAAATCATGATTGGGGTGAGCTTGATAAAGATGCTGAACGCACAGAAGAATCAACAAAAAGAATTGCATGCCTTCATATGGATTGGGATAGAATTAGAGCTATAGACATTATGGTGCTAGTCAATTCTTTTATTCCAACAGGTGCTGGATCTGTATTATCAGTCAATGTAAGCAGCACAAATAACCATAATGAAATATAAACTATAACATATTTTTTTCATTAGATTTATCCATCAGAATTCGGAAAACAGCGACTGGCTGAAGAGGAATTAAAAGGTCCAAAAGAAATAACAACGTTGGAGGTAAAAAATGAAAATGAGGAATATGAAGAAGGCGACAAATACACGGAAAAGCTACGAGAATATCAATTAAACCGTCTTAAATATTATTATGCTGTTGTTGAATTTGATTCTGAAAAGTCTGCAGATATAGTCTATAAAGAGTGTGATGGACTTGAATATGAAAGTACGGCAAATAGACTCGATTTAAGATTTATTCCCGATGAAATGGAATTTGAAGATGAGCCAAAAGATACATGTACAGAACTACCTGATTTAGCAAAATATGAACCAAGAATTTTCTTTACAACAGCACTTCAGCATGCAAAAGTCGAACTAACATGGGACGAAACAGATGTTGGACGTCAAGAAATATCTGATAAGCTTTTTACTGATAAAAGAAATGAAGTGTCTGATCGTGATCTAAGAAAATTTGTAGCATTTAGCAGTGAAAGTGAACATGATGATCAAGAAGAATCAAACAGCGATTCCGATAATATTGATGGAGCATTAAAATCAGGTAAAAGTAGATTGGATCTTTATAAAGCGCTGCTCGATGATGTAAATCAAAAAGAACAGGAAAAGAAAAAGCAGCAAGTAGAAATGGAATATTCATGGGGAATTGGAAGTCTAGATAAAAAGGATAAGGCAGTGCCTGTCGAAAAAGAAGCGGAACTGACTCCATTCGAAATGATTTTAGAGAAAAAGAAACAAAAGAAAAAGGCTAGAAAGGAACAAAGAAAGAAAAAGTTGAAAGGTGGTGACGATGACAATGAAAATGGATATAGTTCGAGTGACTTTGATGATATAGACATGAATGATCCATACTTTGCAGAAGAATTTGCTAATGGAGACTTCAAAATGCCAAGCAAAAAAGGCTCAAAAAAGAAAAAGAATGAAAAATTAGAGGATGATCCAGAAGCTGAAGAAAAATTAAAGGCACAAAAGGAACTAGAATTATTGTTAGAAGACAATGAAGACGAAAAATCACATTTCAGCTTGAAAAAAATTCAAGAAAATGAAGAAATGACTTCGTCCAAAAAGAAAAGGAAAATAAAGAAACTTAAAAAGCAAGGAATAAATGTTGATGAGCCTGTAGACAATTTCGAATTAAATGTTCAGGATGATCGTTTTAAGGCAGTATTTTCTCAGCCAGATTTCAACATTGATCCTACAAATGCTGGATTTAAAAAGACTAAAGGAATGGAGAAACTAATTCAAGAAAAACTTAAGCGACGACACACTGATGATGCTGAGCAAACAGAAACCGCTGAAAAGAAGAAAAAGATTAAGGATATTTCGTTGAACTTACTTGTTAAAAATATCAAAAGGAAGGCTGGCAAGTAGATGAATTAATTTTTGCGTATTTGAATTTAATGGTCAAATTTTGAAATTTGTACAAAATGCAATGTGCTGAAAATCTAAAAACAGGTAACGAAATTTTAAAATTTAAATAACAACAGATTTCAAAAATTCAAATTCTGCCACAGTTTTTGAAACGTTCAAAAAAATTCAAAATTTCGAAAGCCGTTAAAATTTGAATTATTTAAGAATCGCTAGGAAAAACCAGTTTTAATAATTTTTCTGGAAGAAATAAAGTAACGATTAAGAAAATGCAGTTTCATTTGTCATTATCAAATTTCGTGTTTTCCTTTTTGTAATTTTATTATTTTTCATCAATAACTTAAATTGTTCACTGAAAATGCATTCCACATTCCAGCTACTTGGGGCTGTATCACTTATAAGTTATGTTGCATGTATAGTTGGGCTTATGATCATTCCGAGCGATTTTAAAATATGATTCACTCATGTAGGTAGGGACTATTAGACAATATAGGAAGGGGAGAGGGGATGATTTGCACATCAATATTTTGGTAAGTTTCATTCTCTTTACAAGTTTTTCTTATTTAAGGATATTGTGTAGCATTACTAAAGTACATTTATTCATCTGAACCAGAGTTTTAAGCGCAAAGCATCCACCCCATTTAGATAGTAATGAAATAATCGCTTGTCGCGAACAAACCCAAGATTTTCGTACAGTTTGAGTGCAGGTTGATTCGTGATTTCTGTCTCCAGTACTACCTCATCTGCTTGATTTGCGATCATGACCTAAAATTAGTAATACGTTAGTCATCACAAAATTATTATTTGAGGGAATTAAGAAGGCTGACTCACTCGAATTGCTTTCTGGACTAATGTGGTGCCAATTTTAAGCTTACGGTAATCTTTGTCAACAGCCAGCATTGCTATGTATCCACGTTTTATCATTTGCCTATGAATATCGAGCTTACATACAATACATCCAATACATTTATTCTCGTGAATAGCTAGATAGCAAAGTTTGGGCCAATTGTGAATAAAGTAACGATAAGTATAGATCGAGTATGGTTCAGAAAGATCCTTTTGTATTAGCTTCATTATACTCGGTAGTTCCAGCTCTGATTCGTAGACTTTATATGTGATTTTAATTGTTTCTGATGTTTGGTCCGAAAGTTCTCTTAACATTTCTACAACTTCATATTCTTGAATCAACGGACAGGATTTAGTATCATTTATAGGAATTTCTACAGGCGATAATTCACTTAACTCTGTCGATTCCTCATTGTCAGATGTGCTCTTTTTACACGACGAATAGGAATCATTATTGATTATAAACTCCTCATTATTTGATTCTATATGACCATTTTCCTTTTTCTCCAATGAGCAATTTTTCTCGATTTTGGATAATTTTACATTATGACTACTTTTGTCTATTATATGATTAGAATTCGATTCTGTTATAGCTATATTTTGGAGCTTTGACTCGAGCTGATTTTCCATTATTTCACAAAATTTCAATTTTTTTTAATAATCTAAAATTTTTTCTTGCTGGGTCTCGTTCACAAATGATGTCTACTCTTCTATTTTTGTGAGTGGGGTTGAGGGTAAATTACGTCCAACTTTTAAGAAATCTAAGAACAATTGTGCAAGTTTTGTGCCTGCAATAAAGTAACTGCTGGAGAATTATATAATTTTTGAGGTGATATCACTTAAGAATGTGCCACAATGAATTTCTGAACAAACAAAAATTTAAATAATTTCCCACGGTTTATTCGCACTATATTTCGCTTATATATTAAATTACAATAAAATAAAATAAAATTTGATATCATGCAAAATACAAATTAATTAACAAAACAGACATTAAGAACTGACCAAAACAATATCATGAATACTGGGACACTCATTTGGTAAGCCATCAGATCCCCATATATAAACCTCTTCGTCTGTAACAATGCCCAAGTAGTGATTTGTTGAAAATGAAATTCCTTTAATTAAGGTGTTAATTCCTGTATAAATCTCTCTAACTACATCCAGGTTCCATGTTGAAAACAATCTGATAGTAAAGTTTGTGAAAGCAGCAGCAATCACATTTACACCAGTTCCTTCCTTTATAAAACTAAAGCAAGTTGCTGTAACGATTCCATCCTGGAATATATGCTTAATATATTTGCCATTAATGTTGTTCAGCCTCAATTGTGATTTATTAGCTATTGACATTGATATGTTGATAAAATCATCGCCATTATTTTCACTCATTTCCACAGAACTTGCATCTGTATCTTCATAGACATCATCCTTTGGCTTAAAAACTGTTAAAATATCACCGAGTGTATTGCTTACATCCACATGTGTTATTTGTGATCTCAAAGTATTACATGATGGCTCAATCGTTCTTATATATTCAATTTTTTGTGTATCCCAAATGACTGCACGTCCATCAATTCCTATACTAACTGCTATTTTAAAATCCACAGACATTTTCATGCTCAAAACTTCTTTTTTATGCCTCAATAATATTATTGGATACATCCACTTAGTAATGACTTTATATTTTATCGGAGTAACATTTAATGCTCTTGACGAAGCATTGCCAATTGTAATATCAATTATGTCTTCAAGAAATGATGACCTTGAACTTCCTTCTTCTGTCATTAATTCGCATGGCTTATCGACTCTTATGTAGACACTAATGTTACCTGACAAATGTCCAAACCAAATGTGCGGATAAAAGTTGTGAGTTAAGCAGCATGTTACTGGATCACATGAAGGCAGAGAGAATAAATGTGTCGATTTTGATTTCTTCTTATCATCAAATGGCTTTTTCCTTACAATCCCATCCTTTTCTTTCCACATAAGTAACTCGAATGAGTCTGGCGTAAGTCCTTGAATAATTGAGCAATTGTCTGGAACGACAAAGAACGTATTGAAGCTTTCAGCTAACACTAGTTTCATGTTCTTATGGTTGCATTTAACTGGACTTTTAAGCTTTATCATTCTTGGTTTTGGTAATATTGGAGATCCAGTATAATTTCCCCATTTTAAGCCTTTAATGTTTCTCAAAACAGGTCGATTATCGTTTATCCTATCATTATTTATTATTGACTTTTTATGAGGAGACATAAAGATTTGTTTTGGAACCTGCCCATAAGTTTTCACCATTGTCTCACATGCTGACCGTTCAACTTGATCATTTATGCTCGATATTTGGAATTCCGGATATGTCTACAAAAATGAGAACTATTAGTTATTTTAATTTACAAAAAATGTTTATAATATGCTTACAGCATAATGAAAGACATTAATTGAATCAACTGCAGCTTTTCCTTTCTGCTTGAACCCGAAGATCAAATCAATCCAGTGATTCAAGTTTCTTCTTACTAATTCCGATTCAAATGCTTGTCGATGGATCAGCATGAAGTTCCTTGGTGAAAAATCACACCATTCTGGCAGTTTTACATCATTTACCTGCTCACCAGTCTGCCTTTTTCCATAATTAAAGCCTTCCTGATTTTCTAGGAAATCAGGTAAACAGAAAAATTCAGGAATCAACTCTTTCACATCTGTTGCTGACTCTCTGCTTGTTAATCTGAATGTTGTTGACAAATTATGGAAAGTCCGATCAGGAATGTCAAAGTTGTTGTCTGTAAATTGTAATAAATTTTTAGCGGATATTTTAAATTCAAATAATACATCAAACCATACAATTTTTTTGGAACATTCGTAAGGTTTTCTAACATTCAAATTTCAAAAAACTGTTAAACTTTAAATCAATTTAAAATCAGTTTTTGATCGTTGTAGAGTTTAGCACAATAATAGCATACCTTGATAAAGAAGGAACATGTTTGTGAATGGTGGAAGTCGAACAAGAAAATGAAGGACCGTTCCAGAGTTAGAATACAGTGAAGTGTAATGATATGGCTTCATATAAGGTTGATGATCATTCATTTGTGCTATCAAGTCATTGTAATAGCCTATATATTGATCTTCTGTTCCGTCATATTGTGTCGATATGGTTTTATTAAGCTTCCGAAACGTATCAGGATTAGTAAGGTCCAATTCATCACCATCAAATTTAGCTAGAATCCATGGAAATATTGGATATTGAGCAATATCGTTGTAATTTCTACCCGATAATTTATTCAGTTCCATTAAGTACTCAAAGTTTGTAAGCTTATTATCTATCCACATTTGAGATAAATTCTCGACCTGTTTGGTGCTTTCCTTCCAATTAATCTTTTCAGCCATGAAATTGTTGACAATATCGCGATCATAACTTGATTCAAAAATGATGAAAAAGCTTTTGTTGGACTTGAGGAAGATTTCGAGTGCCACTTCTTTATGCTGATATCGTCGTTCCCAAATTTCACTTATGTTAATAATATTAGATATGATCGAGTTGTTGTGTGTATTGTGATTTGTTAGGAATATAAATTGAGTTTCTGTGATTATAATTTCACCTTCTATTTCCTGTTCCATAGTTAAATGCTTAGCATTAAATGTAAAAATGATTTGATCACGTATTGAGTATCTTTCAGTTTCTTTAGGGTTCAGTAAATAATCCAATAACTGCTTCCTATTTTGATATTCAGCCTTAAATTTAAATTCATCATTAAAAAATCGTTCCTCAACTTTCAAAACTGTTCTTTTCAATCTAATTCTCATCCTTCCTGGACCTTCAGTTTCATCTAATTCAAATGTTGTTGGATACAGTTTCTCATTATACCAAGGAGCATCTTCATGCGTCATTCTCTGTATTAATTCATTCCATTCGCGATAAAAATCGATTTCTTGGGTTTTTTTCAATTGATTCATTAACTTCCGTCGTTCCTTGTTTTGAATGTCAACCACATCACGTGTCATACGCATAGCATTGTCTATGCATGACTGAACAAGCGTTTCCAATTTATAAATTATTTTATCAACTTGCTGTGACTGTTCTACACTCGCATTATCACGAATATTCTCAACTTTTGCTGTCGTACTTATGCTTAAGTTCCAATTTTGTTGTTGTTGTGTTATCGACGAGCCACAATATTTTGTAAAAATCTTCACCTGATCTTCAGTGAATTCATTTTGATTGTTGTTGATAAATTGAAATAATAAAGATTTGAATAGTTTAGATTCAGGAACTGAATAGTTTGCATCAATTACGAGATTTGCAAGTAGTTTATGTGTTGTGAATAGCTTGACTTCCTTAACAACTTTAGGATTTAATGACCAAAGTGCTATTGATCCTTGCTGAATTCCAGAGAAATACATGTCAATTAAATATTTTATAAAATGCAGTTCAAAAATTTTAATTACATCCACAACTTCCCAACTCATAATGAACTGAATGGACCTATCAAGCACAAGATTAAATCGAGTTTTTATCTCTGATGATGACAAGTTTCCCAATTCCTTTCTTACTGCATATACAAATCTCATATCTCCAGCACGACTGCCTCTTCGATCTTGACAAACTAAGCATAAATCTAATAATATTTTTAAAATTTTAAGGTGCACTTCTCGAATACTCTTATTTTGACGTTCAGCATAAGTTAATCCATACAACAGTTCCCATAAAATGTGCATAACTCCCATTGTGCTTAATGCATTAATTGCAATCCATTCCAAAGATAAACTAATGCAATTAAAATATCCAAGTTCACCAATGTTAATTAATGACTTGATTAATGCTGCAACCAATCCATTTTCCATTAAATATTGAAAGTTGTCATGACTTGATTTCATCACACAATCAATGAATCTGACTGTATTTTTCAGTAATCCAATATCATTAGTCATGGATGGTAACATTGAGATTAATACTCTTAATGCTGGTCTATATTGAATCTCAATTTCAGAACCTTCAGCTATTTCATTTACTTTTAATTCTTCAACACAAATCCAGTCAAGACATGCCTGAACCATATTTGTATTTACAGGCCAGATTGACAATTGATTTCCCAAATGAATCCAATAATTTGCTTTTTGATATGTACTGACTTGATCTACTGATTGACGACTGGTAAGTGTGCGTATTAAGTTAGTAACAGCAGCACGAACATCTGCATCTTGATGATTTGCAAACATTATAAAAGATTCAATTTTTAAACATTCTGGAAGCTCTGTTTGCAGTCTCAAAACATCGAGATTCTTAATGATATCCGTAAGCATGAGAAATAGCAGTTCCTGTCAAGAAAAGAATAGTTGAGATAGTTAAAAAAACAATCTTCAAAATTTTAAAAAAATAGGTTCAATTTTTGAACATTATTTTTTGTAAATTTATTTTCCGTTAAATTTTTCTTGAATCTAATTTTTACCTGTAATATGTTGATTCCTTCGTTGTCCTGCACAATTTCTATATCTGAGATATTAGAACTAGTAAGCGTAAGTGATTGCTTAAACTTTTCGACTATTTCTGGATCTAATGCACATTCCAATCCAACTTGCTGTTCTATGACCGTCGATGTTCTTTGCAGGATATGCTTTTTCTTTGGTGTGCTTTGCAGACGCTTTTTATTAATTTTTATTGGAGGTGACTCACTTTTTGCCTTCACTTTCACTTCCGTTTTTAAAGCTTTTCTAATTTGATGGATTTGATCCTGATCAAGTTCATCAAATTTCTTAGTTCTTTTGAATCTCTTCTTCATTGATCCTTTTCTGACCATTTTTAAAAGCTCTGTATCACTATGAATTGATTTTATAGATTGACCCTCAGTATTCTGATTGGGATTTTGTGTGGATGTTCCTGGTTGTGGTTCACTGTTATTTCCAGTTTCTGATGCCTGTGATGTTGTCGGCGATAAAATAGGAGTGATTGTAGCATTTGCAGACCGAATCTTGGTACTAAAGTTGAAATATTTCGAAGTAATTGTTTGATTGTTTCGATTATGCTTTGACGGCTTATTACTTGATAAGATGAAATTAAATTTTGATCGATCATGAGTAACGAAACTTTCACTTGGATGATGCAGCAGAATAAGTAACTTTTGTATTTCCTTAATACTCCAAATTGTTGGTGGATTTCTATTCATCATTTTTATTAATTCTACTAACATAAAAGCTGTAGCTGAATTGATTTTCATAGAACTTGCTGTACTTGCCAAATGAGTCTTACAAAATTTAATTAATTTCTCAAAAAATCCATGATCACGAAGACATTGTAAGTTTGTAGCTCTACAAGGATGAACATCACGAACTGTTGTGATTATACTTTTAAAGAAGAGATTCAATGTTTTTGTTTCCATCCCATTTGAAGTCTGGAAAATATTAAAATGGTTTAGCAACTTGATCAACAAACTTCCATTTTGGATATTTAGTAAACTTTCTTCATTAATTAAGTATTCATCACTTTTAGACTTTTTGTGAAACATTGAACCACCATAAATGACATCCAGTACAGCTTTTAACATTCCTGGTCCACGATAACAATTTCCATGCTTAAAGACATGAGCAACTAGATTGAATAAATTCCTTTGCTCAAATTCAGCATTAAGATAATTATTTGTATAAGCACATTTGAGAAAAATGTATAAGGCAGACGATTGAGTTTCTGGATCTTCTGATAACTCCACAGTTCTAGCAAAAAGGAATAGCATAGTAGATAATCCACCAGTGAAATAAATTGATCTTGATAATGAGTTGACTGCTGCAGCTTTTGCAATTTTTCCAAAATTGATAATTCCTGATCGTTTGCCATAGTCTGTCTTCAAATAAACTGTAGCATTGCTAGCTTTTATAAAATTATGTGCCAACAATATATTGGATTGAAGTCTAGACATTAAATCATAACTTATGCCACTTAAAGATGTTCTATTGATTAATTTCGACATATCTATAAATCCACGAACTGGCATTATTTGTAACAATTCACACGGTGTAAAATTATAACAATCCGGTCCAAGACAAAAGAGGCAAGCAATCAAATTTGTTTCTAATGGAGTCTTAAAGAGAAGCACATTACTCATAGAGTATTTTAAAGTTTTTTGGAAATCATCTTCGCTACAAACTTTCTGTGATCCAATAAATAACAACTGAAGCTTTCCATTTACTTCAGTATTCATCATGTCACCAACTGGAATTTCGATGCTTTCATGCTCGATTCCATTGAGAGTAATAAGTATTGTAAGGATGGAATCTAAATTACAAATTGATAAGCAAATATGCGTCCATCGATCGTACGGAACTTTACATTTTGTAGACTTTCTACTCACTTTTGTGGTTTCCATCCGTAAACTATCTCTCTTTGACATTGACTTTTTATATTCATTTCTAATTGATCCTCTCGTTCTTATATTTTGTTCACGATCATTTTCAAGCACTGTAGCGATTCCCTTAATATTTCTGCCATTCCTATTATTTTCCTTATTTGATTGATCTGGGTTATTTAATGTGTCCAAAAGCTCTGTGTGAGCTCTGTTATCATGTAGCAATTTGTTCTTATTTGCTTTTTTATAGCCATAATTTTGATTCGGTTTGATGACATTGAATTCAAAAAATCCATTAGAATTCATATAGACCGCGAGTACTAATTTATCAGTTCCAAATGACAACAAATGAATTGATGTCACGTAATTATTTTGATACTCTTCCAATTCAATCCATGTTGATAAAGTATAGCCAGAGGAATTCCATATATTCCGCTCTAAAACATTTAAAGGAATGATTTGTGATGATTCAATGAATGGTGTCCAAAAATCATTTGCTATGTGAAGCTCTCGATAGCTATTTATTAATGTTGTTATGTCTCTGTCACATGAAGATGTTATTGTTATCTCTGATTTATCCTGACATATTGGATATTGAACTGCTGTAAAGGCTCTAGGAAATGTTTCTTGATTGCTCAATGTCTCAATTCTTGAAATTATTAATTCTACGGGTACATCATTGTTTGTTAACAGTGAGAAACATGCCCTTAAAATTTCTGGCGAGTTTAAATCTCCAATTAATTCCAAAATTCCTTTTTGCAGTGCTGTGTATGATAAGATTGCATTCCGTTAAAATTAAATTCAAATTTCGAGGTTTGTAATTTTTCAAAAAATTTGACTGTTATTTTTCATATAGATTTTGATCGTTATATTTATAGTCACGCTACTTACTTTCAAATTCATTTTCTTTCCTAGTTAAGATCGGTGTAAATCCTTTGATAATAAAATCAGAGTTTCCAAAATATTTATTCATGCAGCTTAGACGCTTCATCAATGTTGTTATTTCCTCTGCATCCCATTGATCTCTATTTTCTATGTACTTTATTGACAGATTCATGAGGATTTCGATTACTAATTTGCAGATATGCTCGTTGGTGTCTTTGAAATTTGATACTGTATTAAACGAGAACGCTTGATTCTCATGATCTTCTGCCGCTGTCGAGTAGTATTCTTCGTCTGCCTGTATAAATAAACATTAAGGAAGGAAAAAAATTTAATTGCGATAAGAGGAAGAATGCGCTCAAAAATCTGTCATACTTACGTCGTAGTTTTCGTCAGCAGAAAAGTAAGCTTCCGTTTCATTATCTTCATCGATTTTTTCATCATTACTTTCGCTAAATGGAATCTTTACGCTAGATATGTCAAAATTATCGAAGAAATTTGGATCGATTTCAGGCATTGGCTCGGTATTTGTCATTAATATTTGATTGACATTCTTAACTTTCATTTCAGCAACTTTAATTAATAATTCTAAAGCATCAAACAATGAATCTTTGTTATTAATCCACTCTTCTTGGAGTAACAATAGCTTTAATTCTTGTATCGCTGCTGACATTCTCGTACCTAAATTAATATAGAAATAATGAGTTTAAAAAAAACTTCCTTTCTTGTTTATATTCCTACTGTAAATGAACGCTCGCGACAACGTTGTGCAAGGAATAATATTATTAATGTTATTTGTAATTTGATAGTACAAGTCAATAACTATAAACAGAGCTGTCTAGTGAATTGGAAACATTATGTATTGAACTTGCACGTTTGTTTAAATAAGCACTTTTGCGGATTCACTCAATGCATTTGCATACTTTTATTTTATGTAGTATTTGTATTTACGAACATGTTGAGCAACATTGCAACATTAAACTTTAAACGGTTTTCAAAAATTCAAATGAATTGAACTAAGGGTGTGGTACTGATGAAATGATCAAAATGTAATTCTTCAGTTCCACACCCTTGAATTGAACCCAATCAAATAATTTTTTGAACGATTTGAATTCGAAGACACCGTTAAATTTGATATATAAAATACTTACTGAGCTTCTGATTGCGCCACAGCCTGAAGCAAATTTCAAAGCAACTCTTAGCGATGGATGATAAATACTTGGTTCCAATATTATTTGTAATTTCTTTAATAGCATTAAGCCTATATATTTCTCGTAGCTCGTCTTCTGGTCGAATGAAGCGATTGACAAATTTGGTGATTTTATCTCGAACATTTTTACTCTCAAAATCTCCAATACTGGTTAAGAATTGATGGAACCAATGCTGATAAGAGTAAATATCATTATCTTTGTGATCCTTAATATCTAAGGCAAATTGATTCTTTTGAGCATCTTCCAATGCATTCTCAGAGAGAAAATTATCTCTGTGTATTGATGCTGTAAAAAACATGTTATTCTTATCTCGTGCGGTGTTGTAAGTCATGCAGAACGGATTTTCTTTACGACTCTCTGACTGCAGCTTATCACTAAATTTTTGACAAATTTCAAACAATTTGTATGACCTACTTATAATAAAATCATAATTAATGTCAAATTCATTCACGATGACTGATGTCAAATAATCGCAACGTGTGTTTACTTCCAAATGATTGCTTTTTTCATCATTCTGACAATTCCTTTCTGTCATTGTTAATGGATTTATTGCAATGTCTCTTCTTAATAAAATCGTATTAATTGCATGATACGCAATTGAGAATAAAATATCTTCATTAAAATTATTGCAAATGTTTGCTAGAAAATCAGCCTTAAATGTTCGATGTTTGGCGATGAGATCACATAAAATGTTCCAATGAACCGAACTTAAAAATAGAACATCCAATTTTGATAAATTTGCTCTAATCAATAGATTGTGTTCATCAACTATTTCAAATCCACAGGAATCACTTGTCGATGCTTTTGGCTCGCTTTGAAATGTTATTTTTGGAAGTCCAATCTCATTATAAATATCCAATAACTCACTGATTAAGGAATGCGTGTTGATGAACAGAACTGATTTAATTTTACGTGCTGAATCAGCCTTATCAACTCTATTGACGAGATATTCGAGTCCATGCCTTAATATCATGCATGAATAAATTGACATGGCAGGTACCAATGAACAGTCGCCTAGATCATAGATGAGGTCTTCCGATAAAGCACCAACAGTGATTAAAGCATTTTCATTCATTAATTGTAGACAAAAGCAACAGATATCCTTCAATTCTTGATTATTATCTGGGTCATTAAAGTACTTTCTTTTCACTTTCTTAAAAGCAGGAACAATTATGTCAACGATGAAATCTTTTAAAAAATGTTTCGGCATGATTTTTTGGATGATAATTAAATGATAATACAGATTGTGAAGCTCAAATCCATCCCTTCTATCAAGTTCCTTTTTAAACAAGTCTAAATATACAAGACGAAATGATTTTGACTCGATTTTATCATTGCAAAGCTTACACTCTTCCGTTTTAGCACCTTTAAATAAAACACGATCTATTCGTTTCTCAATGAATTTAAGGTAAATTGAAGGAATTATTGAAGATCTTAGAAATACTTTAATTGTATCGATATTTGCATTACAGCAACAAATTCCTTTCATTAAATGTTTCAGTACAATGAGCAATTGTTTAAATGACTTTATGTACACTATACTGTCGATAAGTAAACGCTCAAAAATGCAATGACTCACTTCGTTTGGACTGTGACGATGATGATGAGTACTTTTATTACCATAAAATTCGTTGGATCTCTTGTCCTGTCTATTCTTTTTTGCCTCCTTCATTGATTTAATATTGATTATAAACTGTAGCTGCATACAATGTAGTAATTGAGTGTCAGAATGAATCTTTTGTAGTTCATCCAACACTATTTGATGACCAGTTAGTGTAAATACATCAAATTCTTCTATCTCTTTTACCGTTATCACTTCCTTAAATAAATTCATCAAATTCATCACTAGACCACATGTTATTTCTGTGTCACGTTCGATCTTGCATATGTTTGTAATTTTTTCGTATATCATTTGCATTGGCTTATTAATAAATTTTCCTATATTGCCCATGCTTACAAATAATAGAAACATAAGCTTCTTTTTTATCACAGTTTGATCACTCTCATTAAATATTTTTTGTTCATTTAGTATTTGTAGATTATCCAATGCCAAATTTATAGAGCAGTAAGTGAGAGATGATGTATCAAGGAAATTTATCAAGTCTTTTCTAACAAGTTTTTGAAGCACTGTAATAACTTTATCTGCATGTTCTACAGGTGATATGTAAAACTGTTCATTAAAACTTCTAAACTCTTCAGTTCTTAACGTTTCATAATCTATTTCTTCTATATCTTCAAATGCAACTATTTGGTCTGGATCAAGGCAATATTCGCATGTTTCCTTATCCGGTCCAATGAGATATATTGAATTGTACATTTCTATAACATCGTTTCTTGAGATTGTAGGCAATCTTGACATTGACATATCACCTTCCCATAGCTTTGTTGGAAATATCTTATAGAAAGTTTCTGCAAGTTTATTGTCACATACACGATTCTAATTAACAGAAAAAACAACAATAGTAAATTAATTAAAGTTTTTGTTGATATCAGCTGATTGTTATAACATACCACTAAATTTAGGTCACTTAATAATATTATAATTCGAGCACCAGTTCCTTTTGTACAGAATTCACGTAAACACACTGTATCCTCAGCATCTGACATGCCTTCTGGCGCAGGTGTTCCTATTAACTTATGTAGATGCATACGCAATGTCAAATCAAGATCTTTAAACCTATTAATATTGGAATAAATTAATTAAAGTCATTGAACAAAGGTTATCAGTGACTTGTTAATAATTGGGAACTTACTTTTTATCATGTATAATAAACTTTTTCAACTTTGTAGGTTTGTTGTAATACTCAAAAAATAACACATCAAGCCATTCAACCTGTTTAAAATAAGCATAATTAAATAGGAAAATTTATATGCGCAAAATAATCTTTTGTTTACAGTCATTGTTGTTATGTACTTTTGCAAAATATATTCCAATTTCCATGAATTTTCCATGATTTAATAATCTTATTAATTAAACTACTTTTCATGACACTAACAACTCATTTAACGCAGACATTTACACTACTAACAGATAATAAATGAATAAATTATTGAATTAAAACTTTAGAGCGATTTTTTTTTGTTTTTGTGGATACCTTCACAAATGACTTTCATTAAATAATTATTTTTCGTACATCATTCATGAATAACCCAATTAGCATTTAATAAAAACTGTTTTTTCTATTTTGTTTGTCCGAATATCACTTATAACGGCTGAATATATTCAAATTTTGTTGATTTTAAATTTCACAATATTTTCATCGGTACTACACTTTAAAAATGGAGATCTTTGTGAAAAACGTTAAATTAATTAATAATTGTAAGGCAATTGTCAAGTCTAAATGGTGCAATGACACGGTTAAACTGAGCATCTTTGTCAGTGATGACGGGAAAGGTAAAGAACTACAGTTTTAAAGAGTAATTTACAGAAATATTAATTATAAAATTTTTTACAGAGAACTGGAAGATTTATAGAGGACAATGCGATCCATTAAACATCGAGTATGAAAAGATTAAGGATTATCTCACATTGAAATCAAATACTGACTCAATCATGTTCGACATAATTGGAAGAGAATTCATAATCTTTATGAAAGAATATCTTGGATCAGATAGTGAAGGATATGCAGACATTATCTACTTTAAATTACCACTTGATTGTGAAGAGATTTCTATGGACATAGTTCTAGAACAAATTAGTGAAATAAATAGATTGACATCCATAATTAGTCATGCTAACGAGACAATTAAGACAGATCAAGAAAGTATGAGGAAGATTAAAAGTTCATTAGACAAGCTATTAATTGAAAAGCAGGAATTCGAAAAGAAATTCTACAGTAAGGCTGCTGCCTTATTTAATACCAAGAAAAAGTATATTCAAGATAATGTTTATAACAAAATTTCAAACCTTAACATTTCACATGATGCTGGAACCTCAGAGGAACTGCTGACAAAGAACAAGAAATTGGAAGAGAAAATCTACTCATCACCGTCTAGAACACCATCGAAGAAACGACAAAGTTTAACGCCCAGAAGAACACCAATTAAGGGAATGCAAAGAACACCATCAAAGAGACTTCGTGAAATTCAAGATATGAGTGATTCAGACGATAGCTTTACAGTATTATCGTGTGACACTAACAAAAAGTTGACATCCAAACCGATTTCTAATTCCCTTGATTCCAGTCGTGTCTTTAAGGACTTTAAAATAAAGACTCCAATTAAAAAGAAAGAATATGAGAAGCGTGAAAGCTCTGTTGAACTGAAAATTGACAGACGTACCAATGAAATTATTCCAGACGAGTCCGAAAATGAGCAAAAATCCTTAGAGTCAAAATCATCAAATCAGCAAAATGCACAGCAAATGGAAGTAGATAATACAATAATTGATGATGAAGTGATCCCGTGCTCACAAGAATCACAGGAAATGGCACTTAGTGTGACTAGTTTTTCCGAACGACTATCACGCAACAAGCAAAAGAAACGAAAAACTGAAAATTCTATTAATATCAATCCCTACAATGTTAATACTGTTAATATTTTGGATATAAGCGATTAATTTAATCATTCTTTCTTAACGGAAAAAGTGATAACGATCAATAAAAATTCAAATAACCAGAAATTACTTCCACGCGCATAATGCAAGAAGTATTATATTTTTAAATGCTTACCTACCTTATTTAATTGTCCTCATTTTGCTTCAGATTTCGTTGAATTTGCATTCATATATGATTTATTACACCTTACAATGTTGCTTTTGAAGTGAGCATTTCTCAAAAAAATGCTCACTGGAAGTTCAAAAAGCATTTTAATCGTGCATAATTCAAAAATAATCCTTTATAGATCTTAACCGTCAAAAAATTGTGAAATATTAATTTAAGTGCTTTAAACTGTAATAATAACCAAGGAAATGACATCACAAAAGAAACGAGTCATTTATGATTCAGATAGCGATGAAAATAGCAGTAAGTTCGCTCTTAATTTGTGAAAAAATGTGAAATTTGATTTGTTTTTCTTGAAAATTTTAAAAATAGGCGAGATAGAAAGCATTGAAAATGACACAATTGAATCCAGTGAACAGGAAAGTGAGGAATCGGATGTTGAAATAAATGAAACTTTCAATGATGAGGAAGAACAGACACAAAATGTGAAAAAAAGTGTTACAAAGAGAGATACAGGAAATGATGACTTTTTAACGGCTGATAGTGACATTGATGAATTAAATAAGAGCGAATCTATTGATGAGATATCACCGATAAAAAAACTTGAAAGTAGCGATGAAGAGAACGAAACGAGTCTAAATGAAACAGAAGATTTAAGCAGCAAGCATTCTGAAAGTGAAAACAGTAAGAGTAATTTCTTAGATGAAGAAGCTCGTACATCAAATCACGAAAGTCAAGATGAAGACAACAGCTTTAGAATCAGTAATGAAAATGATTCTGAGGATGAAGAGGAAATTGCTTCAAAGGTTCGTAAGAATACACGTCGAATAACAGATTCTGATGACGAGGACGATAATAAGAATGAACAAAGGCGTAAAACGTTTTACATGGAAAATCCTGATGGAGATACGTCGTTTATAGTTGAAGATAATGTTTACTCAAAATCTACTCGTCGTAGCATGTTTGGAGGCATTCCAGAAGATCCAGAAGTTAAATCTGAACCAATTTCTGAAAACGAGCTGTCAGATGGTGAGGATTCTGATGTTATTATTTGTGAATCGGAATCAGAGCAGGAAAATTTAGAAACCTCGGGAATGATAGTTAAGTCACTATCGTCAACAACTCGATCACCATTTAAGGAAATTGACCGTAATTCAGTCGTTAAAAAGGAACCTTTGGCTAGTCCAGAAAAATCCAAGAACTTACAAAGAGTATCAAAATCATACTATGATTCACAAGTCGCTGAAATTGAAGCTATGAAAGGTCGAATTGAGGCCTTACGAAAAATGGAACTTAAAGGATCTCTTCCTGATAATGGTCAAAAGTTAAGAATTGCAGCTGTAAAAATACAAAACGACATTAATGAAAAGGAAAGATTGATTAAAACACTTATTGTTGATGAAGATAAAAGCATTAAAAACCAACTTATGGATTCATTTAAAAGCGAAAGTGAACGTTCATCCATAAAAGAGGAATCAAAAGGAGACGAAGATTTTCTAGCTGCCGAGGATGTTCAGCCAAAATATACTGGAAAAATTGGCATGAAAAATTTCGAGCAGCAAAAAGCACTTACAGTTGAAAAGCTTCAAGACATACAAAACTCATTAGATCAACGACCCGCTGATGATGCATTAGAAACACCTCCAAAGGATTTAAAAATTGAGTTAATGAAGCATCAACTGCACGCACTAGCTTTCATGATGTGGCGTGAAACACAAAAACCTCGAGGTGGAATACTAGCTGACGATATGGTAAGAATAATATAGGGTTTAAATTGTACGAGAGTGACTGGTTATTCATCCGTTTTTCATAATTTTCTTATTATCCTTATATTTGACAATTTTATATTTTCCTCGCGTAAATCAGTAAATCATATGAAAGTAATATCTGTTTCATAAAACAATCGGTTAGTAGTCAAGTCGAAAATGCTCTTAAAACTTAGCTGGTATTTGGAACCATACATACCGTTATACCATATTTAATTATATACCTGATTAAATGCAAAGATACAGGATATAAATCACATAGAAGCTAATAACATTTTTAATTTTTGAATTTTTATTGCTCCTTATTAAAGGGTCTGGGTAAGACACTGACTGTAATATCATTAATCTTGAAACAACTGCAAAAAGCTGAAGAAATGGACGAAGAGAGTGACTACGACAGCGATGCTAATGATAAGGAAAAAGAAAATCAGTGGATTTCTCAAGGACATAAGTCATTGCGTGATGGAGGTACGCTAGTTGTATGTCCAGCAAGTTTAATCAATCAATGGGAGTATGAAATTAAGAATAAATTAAAGAGAAATGCACTGAATGTTAATGTTTTTCACGGACCAAAGCGAGAATATCGAGCAAAAGTACTAGCAAGGTATGATGTGGTCATCACAACTTATCAAATTATTCTTAGCGAGTCAAAAAATGAAGGATGTCTTTCGGGTATTAAATGGGATCGTATTGTATTGGATGAAGGACATGTCATTCGTAATTATAGATCCAAACAATCGGAAGCTGTTTGTAATCTTATTGGAAAGAAACGTTGGGTTTTAACTGGAACTCCAATTCAAAATAAAGAGTTTGATATTTATGCTGCTATCAAGTTCCTTCGTTGTAGTCCATTTGATGATATTCGATATTGGAGAACGTGGATTGAGACAAAGAAAGGTTCATCGCCACGACTTCAAACATTATTAAAATCAATTTTACTTCGACGAACAAAACAACAATTAATGGAATCGGGAGAAGTGCAATCATTGCCTGAAAAACAATACGAAGAATTTCAAGTAGCTCTTAATCGTGAAGAACGCAGTGTTTATAATCGAATATTGGCTTTTTCTCAAGCTGTGTTTGCTCAATTCTTATCACAGCATCAAGAGAAATATAATACATACACATATGATCGTAATCAGCTTGGCAAGCTTCACCAGAAATTCGCAAAAATTAATAATGTCGAACGAGAAGTAAAAGCTCACGAAATTTTAACTCTTTTGTTGCGTTTACGTCAAGTTTGTTGCCATCCAGGACTAGTTAAGCAAGCAATTGCATCACATGAAATGGACGTCGATATTGATCAAGGAGAAAAGGAACAAGAAAATACGTCAGTAAATGATTCCGATATTGATATTTTGAAAAAACTGCAGAATATGAGAATTGATGAGAATAATGAGGAAGTTTCAAATACAGCAGGTGCGATAACAACAGACAACGAAGTCTTTAATATGGACATTCCAAGCTCAAAGTTGGACAAACTTATGGAAATAATTCGAATAAAGTTTGAAGATACTGACGATAAAGCTATTATTGTCAGTCAATGGGTTTCGTATCTTAATATAATAAAAAGTCTATTAGAGATTGAAGGAATTGGATACTGTGAGCTCAATGGGACAATTCCAGTAAAGTATCGTAATGATATTGTTGTAAACTTTAATAAACCTACTTCTAACGAACGAGTCATGCTGCTTTCAATCACTGCTGGTGGAGTTGGTCTAAATTTGGTTGGTGCTAATCTCCTTTTCATCCTGGATCCTCATTGGAACCCTCAGATTGAGCAGCAAGCTCAAGATCGTATTTATCGATTTGGACAGACAAAGAATGTTAAGATTTACAAGTAAGTTTACCTTTATTTTCAAACTAGGCTATCCGGAGGCGCCCGTGGTGCCTCTTATCAGGGTTAAAATTTGATTACTATTATGTAAATAACTGTAAGACGCAAATAACCATAATGTTTTTAAGGTTAATCCTACCAATCCTTCACATGGCCTCACAACCCCCTCAAACTCGGATTTCCTTAATCCCACAAAAACTATATAAATGGCTTCACAAACTCCCTCAAACTCGAACTTCCTTAATCCCGCAAAAACTTTATAAATAGCTTCACATGGCTTCACAAACCCCCTCGAACTCGAACCCGCTTAATCCCTCAAAAATTTTATAAATGGCTTCACAAAACTTCACAGGGCTTCACAAACCCCCTCGAACTCGAACCCCCTTAATCTTACAAAAATTTTATAAATGGCTTCACAAACCCCCTCAAACTCGGACCCCCCTAATCCCACTAAAACTTTAATTCCCCCGAAACCCACCATGTCTTTTCACAAAGCTTTGCATGGCTTCACAAAATATTCCTGACACCAAACTTTTCACACAAACCCCCACCCCCCACCTGGCACTCACCCCACACCTGACAACCCACTTGTCAACACTCCTAAAATTTTTGTCTTCACACGGCTTCACAAATGTCTTCACATGGCTTCCGTTCCAGAGTCAGTGAATTGGGCTATATTGTTTGAACGTTATTTTTCAAATATTATTTCGTTATTTCAGATTCATCTGCGAGGATACAATAGAGGAGAAGATCCTGAAAAAGCAGCAAGAAAAAATGAATATTGCAGAGAGCGCATTGACTGGAGCTAAGCGAAATGCATCAAAACTTACGATTGAGGATTTGAAGGATCTGTTTGGAATGAAATGAGCGGAGCTGTAAACTAAGAAAAGAAGAAAAGACATCGATTTATTTTTCATAATAATTATTTTCTTTTATTAAATATGCATTTGATTCTCTAATATCTCTGATAACATATTCATTTAGTTTCTGTGAGGAAGGTGATTCCTGATTCCATCGGTTCTCTTATGAAAAAGAAATTATTGTTTAAAAAGTTTACATAAATTCCATAAAGTGCATAATTTAAACATTTCACAGAGAAGAAAATCAACATTTTTATTCAATTTTGTGTCATAATCAGCACAAGTGACACAATGTGATTTCATACTTTTAATAGTTTTCATTATTTTTTTTTTTTTTTGGTAAAAAGGCAAAAAGATCTAATCAAAAAATCTGTATAGCAATATGCTTCTTCTTTTGTCTAAATATAAAAAATGTAATCTACCTAAAGTCGAATAAAAAATTATTATGAGCACTGTAAGCACCCCAAAACTATGTTTTTTAATGGAAATTTTGGACCAAAGTCACTTTTGTGAAATCGACCTACATTTTCCATTTATCGTCATCAAGCATGCTTTCGATAACATAAAATATGTTACGGTTCTAAACATAAATAAGTAATTACTAAAGAATCATCAAATGATATTTTTTTTATTATCAGCTTTCTTTTTAATTTTGATTAATTAGATTTTCCATTTTAATTAAAGATTTCTTCCAGCATCCATGTGTGTTGTGTTAATATGAGATAAACTTCATTTGTGTTTAACGATTTTCAAAAAATTTGAATTGTCAGCGTTTTTTGTTTTTCAAAAATTTTGAACTTTACCAGTTTTTTCAAAAACTTTTTTGAACTTTTAGCAGTAATTTTTCAAAAAATTTGAATTTTTAACGGTTTTTTGACTCAAAGTATATTGAAAAGTTGGATTTTCGTGATTAGACACAAACTAGCACATGATACTGGATGTTTCATTCATACACAATCTCTCTCTTCAAGTTAAGCTTACAAATTAATCAGTTTATCATCAGAGTTTCAATTTATTCTCTTCATTTTTTTTTGTGCAATTCAAGCGAACGGTTTTAAATTTCATCCATTTCTTTTAATTTAATTTTTTTCATTTTAATGAACATCATGTTTTTAGTCGATTAAATACTTCTTTTTTAGCAAAAAAAATTGAATTCGACTTTGGAAAGTTTCTTTTATTATTAAATGTGGATTATACGGAATTTTTCATTATCTTATGCAAAAAAAAAATTGCTCATCTATAGTCAATAAATATAATGTATATTCAGATGAGACTTAATTCATTCATAATTTGCTGATATAATTTTTTTTCGATACATGCTTTCTCAAAATATAAGAAACAACAAAAATACCAACACTTAATGTATTTTTTTCCACCTAAGACCTGCATTCATTTATTTTTCTTTCTTTCTCAATTTAAAGTAATGAAAGATCTGTGAATTATGCCAATACAAATGTAAAAGTAAATTAGAATTTGATGAGTTTTGAAAAAGAAATTACATGCTTTAGTTACCTCTTTCATCATTCATGTCTGACGCAGCGACTAGATTATTATTATTAGTATTATTATTATTTAAATTATGAGTAATTAAACTAGAATTACTATCTAGGAAATTATTATTATTCAAATTTGTTGACATCTGATCACTATTTGTAATCGCTGCATCTGTGCCAAAATCAATAAGTTTATCCTCGATTGGCTTTGATGAGGATTGTTCTGTTGTTGTTGTTGTGGATGTGGTTATTTCAGACGGATTGCTAGACACAAAATAATTTAACATATATTGTATTTTTTTATCTCCATCATATCCAACATAAGAATTGTGCACGAAATTGTTAGAAATTGCAATGTGATTTAATGTGCAAATTATTAGTGGTGTAAATGTAACGAAAATATGGCAATAAGCTTCTCTAACTATAGTTTTCATGAACTTTGTACGAGTGTGTGCGTTTTTAGTGCAGTTTCATGAAAATGAATGTCTTAGATGTCTCATTCGATTCCATAAGAAGCAAATATAAATGATTCCAATATAGAAAATAAATTAAATTATAGAAAAAGTAGACAAAAGAAACTCAAATTTCAGCCACTTTTAATCTACAATAAAAGAAAAATAAAGAAAATAATAAATAGGATGTGTTGTGCATGTATGTCTTACTCAATGTTGCTGACAAAGATAGTGCCTGGACCAAACTCAATTGTTTAAAAGGTGCTCTTGATTTGCACAATTTGAGAACTTCGTTGAGCTATTCTAATCCAGGCAAAACTCAGACAACAACTTGAGTAGACAGCTATGAGCAAGTGAGTGTTAGAGAATGATTAAATCCAGCAAAATGAATGTTTAATTCCAAATAAATGTTGTGAACAATTTTGAATTTTGAATAAAATTTAATAACATCTTTAATTTTAAATTTTGTGTTAATCAGTGTGACTTTAAACAATGAAATATAAAGCACCAAGAACATAACAACATTAGTAATGTGTGTATACATATCGAATCTCTAAATTATCTTAACTTACAAAGTATTCTCAATACTGTTTTTATCGTGTCCATTTGTTGTTTCAATTATATTTGCATCACTAATTATAAGATCTGATGATGTATCTTTAACATGCTGTCCATTTAGCAAGTTCAAATTATTATTTGTTTCTAACAAATTATTATTGAGGCCATTGCTATTAAGGTTCATTTTATTAAAGCTACTCATCAGCATATTCTCTTTCTCCGTTACTGACTTCTCATATTCCATTTGTGGCTGATTTGGTTTCTCAGGTTCCTTTATTTCATCTTCCTTTGCCACATCCATTTTATCATCTGATTGTTCTGATTCATTATTTGTTGATGGTGCTGTTGTGTTTTCAGTCATTGATTGTGACAACTCTAGTTGACTCTTTGACATATCCATTGATTCGTCGTTCTAAAAAGGCAGAACATGACAACAGTTACAAAATTGCTCGTACTTGATCAATTTAACGGTTTTCAAAATTTCAAATATTAACGTTTTTCAAAAGTTCAAATTTTAGCGGTTTTCAAAATTCCAAATAATTAGCGGTTTTCAAAAATTGAGAATTTGACCGGTTTTCAAAAATTCAAATTTAGCGGCTTTCAAAAATTTTTGAACATAAAATGGGCGTTAAATTTGTGAGAATTACCTTTGATGGTGTATTTGCAGCTCCTTTTCTAGTTCTAGCCATAATTGCTTCAACACGCTTCCTACGTTCTTCACGTTCCTTTTCTTCCTTCTTTAGCCTTTCAGCAGTTTCAATCTTAGCGCGTTCAGCTTCGTCACGAGCTTTTTGTTCAGCCAATTCACGTTCAACTTTCTGTTTAGCTTCCTCGTCCTTACGTTTTATCTCTTCCTGTTCGCGCTTTATATTTTCTTCGATTGCCTGTTGTAATCTTTCCATTTCGAGACGTCTTTGTTCCTCAGCCATTTTATTTGCTTCTAGTTCCATCAAACGATGTTTTTCCTCTTCCTCTAATTGTCTTTTTGTTTCCGCTATTTCCTCAGCCTCAATTCTTTTCCTTTCTAATTCAGCTTGCCTCTCAGCCTCTTCACGTGCAAGACGTCTGCGCTCAGCAATTGCTGCCTTGGCTTCCTCTTCAGTTGTTATCTTTGTTTTGGCTATCATTGAAGCAGTCATATCAGTATTTTCCAATATGGAATTTGTTAATAATTGTTGTGGCTGTGGAGCATGTACAACTTGTGGAACAACTGGTGTGCTTTCTTGCATTTCTGGCTTAACTTCGACTGTCTCAATATGATTCTCTTGAGTTTCAATCTTATCGATTACACTATCTACAACTTCTTGCGCAATTTCAACCGTCGTCTTTACAACATCATTTGTTATAGTCTCATCTGACGAAGGTGCTTGACCATCAACGAATGATAATTCCGTATGTTTTTGTTCAGATTTAATCACATTATTAATAATTGTCTTTTCATTCTTACATTCACCATCTGCTGTTTTAATGATTTCTTGTGTAATGGTAACGGTCTGTTGTTGCTGTTGGATTATTTTTGGAGCAACTTCGCTAGCTGGTGACATAATTGATGGAGTAGTTGACGATTTTGGGGTTGCCTTTGCACTGCTTGTCGTTTTCGTTTTCGGTGTTGATTCGGATGCTGTTGATGGAGTTGATTTGGCTGCACTTGGTGTTCGTTTTATTGGCTTTGATGCACTGTTTGGAGCTGGAGATTTTTCCACTATATTAAGTCATTTATTAGCATCATTTAAAATTATAAGAAACAATAATTACTTACAATCTTTGCTGACACCAGTAACGGCAATGCTAACTGGACGAGCTTTTCTTACTGGAGTTGTTCTCTTGTTAACAATAGCAGAATTAGTTGTGGACGATGACATTGCACTGCCTGGTCTAGAGTTAGATATACTTTTTGGGGTCATCTCGCCTGAACGAAGTCCTGTTATGAAATGTTAAGAAAATGCTATGAATTTATTGTCTTAATCTACAGTTAAATCTGTGCCTTAAAGTTTATATCAATTAGACTTAAGGGAAGTTAGTAGAATAAAATTGCATTAATATTTTCTGCAACGTTATTTATTTTTTGTGTATTATTAGAATTGTGTTGATAAGCAACTAAAATAAGTAAGTTAGTGATAAGAAAATTGCGTCAAGACTGTGCGATTCACATTGGGTAAAAAATAAAATAATATTAATAAGTAGGTTGAGAGAACTAAAAACGATATAACAGGAACTAAAAGTAAATCACCAAAGAAAGACCATCACCATAAAGAAAAGAAAAAAATTAGCAAAGATAAGCAAAAGCAAGTAGATATAAATAAATAAATGAGCAGTGGTAAGTAGCGAAGCCATCAAGTCATATTAATGATAGGCTTATGGCATAGAAGTAAGCGAAGGAAAAATATCTAATGGATTTCCATTTTTTTTCTATGATAGCTTCTGTCCCATAAACAGCCATAAATTTCTAAGGTAATGTTGAGTAGTTATAAAATGAGATAGCATTGCACCTAAAATCCAGCTTCTAGTCTAAGGTTATAGATTTTTTATAATGCCATTATGGTTTTTTAAAGCATTTATCCAACCTGATTTTGACGGTGTGGCCGTTGCTGATGACGACTTTTTATCATTATTACCAGTTAAAAGTGTCATACTCCTTGTTGTCTCAGTATTCTTAATATGTCTTTGCAATGGTGATGATACCAATCGATTTTGGCGAGTACGACTATTGTCACGACTCTTTATACGTCCATTAAGTTGTGACATACTGCGTGACTTCCTCTTATCACTACTTGGAGATGCTTGCGTTAACGAAGCTTTTGATAAATTCTCTAGATCCATTGCCTTACGTCTTTCACGTTCTAGAATGGCACAAATATGCTCACCATTACGACGGAAAGGTTTCGATAACTGATCCAAGCGTGTCATTGAGAATGCTCGTCCTTTACATTTTACACACAAACACAATTCATTCGCATAGATAGTTTTTTTTTTAGAGATGATTAATGAGTAAAATCAAAATTAAGAATAATTAATTATAATAAAAAACAAACTCAAAGTAAGTAAATTAAATTAATTAAAATATCGGGCAGCATCAAAAACTAAACTGTAAAGCAGTTTGTATGTTAAGGAATTACTGTATATTTAATGTATTGTGTGAAAAAGTCTTGCAAAAAGTTTTGTAGTCAAAAAAAGATAGAGTTAAGTTCTACACTCAAGCAATGAGGGTATTTGGTTCCAAAAAAGAAACAAAATCTGTTTAAAAATCAAATAACATCACTTTGCGTCATAACATTTTAAAGCGCTAAGCAAAATACTAAGATATATAATATAATAAAGATTTATGATAAAACATCATTTCAAATTCTATTACTTAATCTATGTATGGATATGGATAAATCTTCAGTCGAGCATTTACATCGAATTTTACAATAAATCGAATTCTCTTCGGAATGTTTTGGATATGTTTAAAGGGGATGTGAGCTTGTACAACTTATTAAAGAATCGCATGTGATTCAAAAGTTCAAATATTCTTATTTTACCGCCTACGATTATTTTGTATTGTTATTCAAAATTTGTCACATTCAATAAAGTAACGTTAAGTTGTTGCCAAATTCTCTATTTGAATCAAAGTCCTGATCAAAGTAAATACTCTTTTTTGTGTTTCTTACTGAATCTGGGCCTTAAAAGTGTACCTTAGGTTTTTTTCAAAGTTCCTAATTTTTGAAGACCAAGACCTTGTCGGTCTTTCTCGATTCTCTTGTGTGAGCTAATTCTCTGCTGATGTAAGTTTGATCTTTATTTAATTAAATAGCTTTTTGGGCAAAATATTTGTCTAGAACATATTTACTTTCGAGAATCTCAAATTTCGTTTGAAAATGTGTAGAATTTCATAAAACTCAATCAGTATTGCTCCAAAAACGAGCATGGCAACAAAAGAAGATGAAAATTCGATTTAGAATAGAATTACAAATGCAAATCCCAAATCCACTGAAAGATTCACTTGTATGATAAAATTCTTATATAGCTATAAATTAAATAACTACCTGGAGTACGAGGAGTGTGCGTGCCTACCGATGATCGATATAAATCACGATCACGAGGACTAGGAATGGTTGGCATTAAATCAGTTTTTCGGCGATGCACCGAAAATCCGTTACGGCTGTCATATGAATCATCTGAATTTCGGTTTGATCGAATTTTATTCATTTTTTTGAACATTTTTTTTTGGTTTTATAGATTTCATCGAGGAAAAAGAAAAGAAAAGAAATAAAAAAATTTTGATAATCAGATTTTTTCGAGTTCTTCTGGTTTTTGTTATTATATCCTCATTAATAAGCCAAAAAAAAAAACAATATTTAAATGATAATATATTAAAATTAGACTGAATAATGAAAATGAGAGTTAATTTTTTTGTTTTCATCCCGATGATTCAATTAAAGCTTTGTGACTTTTTGTGTTTTGTTAAAGCGGATGGAATCTTACTTCCAACTTAATGGCTTTATCACTAATGATTATAGTTAACTAAGCCACTAAGTTGTGAATATTGTCAGTGTTAAGTATAATCACTTTGTTCTTTCATATGATCAGAGAAAATGACAAATGTAGCTTTAAAATGATATCACAAAATTTGGATTGTCATTCAATCCATTCCATCCGCTTTAATTAAATCAATTTATGAGCTTTCAACTAAAGTGAAAAAAGCAATCTGCTGATAACGAAAATCTCATTTCAGATATCAGCGCTCATACTTTATGATTCTTATTGCCAACAACATGCACTTATGAACAAACCCGCTTCTCGCGCTCTAACCATCGCACCATGCATAAAGTTATAATGTAAAAATGATCTTATAAGATTAAGAAACATAATGGTTTAATGATAATCGCGCACTAGAACGCTTTCGTTTACTTTAAAAATCAATAGAATATCAATGGTTTCCTTATCCTGATGGATAATAAAGGTATACGATAAGTACATAATGATAGCTTAATACGAAATAATATGAGAGAGCAAACAACATCAACGAAAGCATAAGAACATAAGATACACAAAAAATACACTTAAGCAGTAGCAAAACAACATAAGAAGGAAGAGTCACTTTTTGCCAACAAAACATCAACAACAACAAGAACGTCTTGGTTCCTCACCCTGACTATTATCTACCATCACCATGCTATGTCTATTTCGTGCTGAATATCGAGCTGCTGCTGTTTGCTTAGACGTAGATGGTGGTCCTTCAAAATCAATTTGTGAGCCAGCTACTGATAATGATAATTTTTTGGGACCGGATGTGGATGGACCCCAATGAAATACTTCGTGCATTGACGATGACATTCTTTTTTGAGCTAGATATCATTATAATTATTATAATAATGCCATTTTTTATGTTTTACCAATTCAGAGGGAAAAAGGAATGGGAAGTATTTCAAAGGAGAAATGAAAGAACAGAGAGAAAGAAATGTCAATAATTATATGTCTTATCTCACTTATTTGTTTGTTTTATGTACTCTTTTTCGTTACTGTAAAAATAATTTTTAATGGAATTTCAGTGAATTGTAATGTCGTGATTGAATAATTTATACCAAAAAGTCAACACAAATGCATTTATGATTATTATTAATTAACTTAATAAATTAGCGAATAATTTCATGTGCCATTCACCATGATTTTCGATTATTTCCCAAGGTATGTCAATGGAATTGCTGTCTAAAGTGATTTAGAAATTTTTTTCTTTTTTTTTGCTTTGGACACACTTATGAATAAGTGATCTAATGTGACCTAAAAAAATCTTATTATTGATTAGTTCAGGTGTAAACATGCAGAGAAAAATTAAGATTTTTGTCATAGCTTATGGTTCATTCACGAATGACGTACATAACTCTTTATCAAAAATTAAGCACGTCAAAAGTGAATAACCCAAACAAATATGGCTTAATTATTGATCTGCAATCGCTTTAATAATTTCCGGGTTAAAAAATCACGCATAATCCATTGGCACTTCACTATTGGGATTTCTCTTACATATGATAATGATCAAGATGCAAAAAATATTGCTTAAAGCTAATGTGATTAAAAAATGAAAATTAATGATTTTACCTTCACTTTGTCTATCCAAACCACTCGCCGATGCTGCTCTTTTCTTTGAGCCTTCGTTCAGTTCACGCTCAGAACTGCGACGAGTTACTGGAGAAATGCTTGTATTAGTACATACATTTTGAATAGAATTTGCTCTGTGGAGGAGAAAGAAGAACCAAAATGTAAATGAGCATTTGTGCCATAAAAATCAGAATAAATAACTTAGAAACACGCAAATATGAGACCGTACCTTCTATATGCCCAAATCGATCCACATTCACTATCCAACATACGAGGGGTTGAAGAACCGAATGCAAATGCAATTTGACTTCTTTCATTCTTCTTCTTTGTTTCAAGTCGCTGATCACGTTCCTGATTTTTCCTTAAAATATATTCACGACGCTCTTTCTCCGCTTCCCAAATTGCCTTTTTTCTTTCTTCCACTTGCTGGCGCTTCTCATTATCACGCGATTTCAAATCATCAATACGACGTCTACGCTCTTCATCCTTCTGTTCGCGAAATTTTTGCGTGGCCAATGCTTGAGCCTTTAACTCCTCTAATTTTCGTTGTCTCTCCTCGTTTTGTTTCTCTTTTAATTGCTTTATTCGTTCTTCTCGATCTCTCTGTCCTTGATAATTTTCTCCTAATATGATTAATATCATTTAAGCGTAAATAAAGAAGAATAAGAGATATAGGTAATTAAAATTATTAAAAGCATAAAAATTGCTCAAATAGAGGAGAAAAGAAACAAGAACAAAACAGTATTTAGTTACATATAAATGTTAATGTCATATAATATGTGAAATCGTTACGGATTCATTAAATTATAATTGTGAGGAATTCTTTTCGCTCTTAATTCTCTGTCATGTGCTAATTAAAATCATTTCTAAAATGATTTTGTGACTAAAAGGAACTTTTAATTTCTATCCATCCGTAAGTCATTCATATTATGTGTAAATAGAACACGCAAACTTCTTTCAATTTCATATATGTTAATTGGATTTTTTTTTCGACATGATATTAACCGTCATGGTATACATACAGTCTCATTCATTGTTGAAGCTTTCTCAAGGTCAATAAATGAATACAAAGCACACTTTTACTAGTTTAATTCGGGAATAATAACAAATAAACATGAGCATGGGATTGTAAGTTCTGTTAGTAAAAATTTTATAACACAATTGCAATCATCTAAGTAAAGTACGTAGAGTGAGTAAATAACATTAAGCACACACTGATGCATTTTGTAGAACAGTAAATTTATTTTCAACGAACCTAAATCTGAAAGATCAATTGATGTATCGATGGTAAATCTTTCATCGACCATATCATCGCCAACCACACCGAACCAATGTAGAGTATTACAACTCAACGGAATCGTTTCTTCACATTCAACATATTTATAGAGACATACATATTTAAAATATTTTTAAAATTACTCAATAAATTCAATAAAGTCATGGCAATGATGGAGTAGGTAGGAAGGCGTGCATTTTGAAAAATTCAACAGTTTTCAAATTTTTAAAAACTTTGGAATGAACTGAGTTGAAGTTTAAAATTTGAACTGGCGACTTTTTAAAACTAATCAATAAATTACAATTTCAATTATCATTCCAAACTGAATATGCTTGTTGAAATATCAGAATGTTAACATTGCCATAAAACATGAGATCATTGCAAAATTACAAATGCTCTTAGCAAATCGTTTATGGAGATAAATTTCAGCTCATCATCATTATCGTCATCATCACGAATTGGCGAATTATTCAAGAGGCTGTTTTTTTTGCAACTCTCATAAAAAATAAAAATTATAATTGGAAAAATAATCATAATGAAATGATTCTTCTTGTTTCATTTCTGTTTTCGACTTCGGTAGGTATGAAGACATGATCTAATTATCACCTTATGAATTAAGACTTCACAATAGAGAAGACGAGAAAAAAGTTTAAAATTCTTACCTTTATTTGCTGATCCCGGCCTACACTGTTGCTGCATGTTGGTGGATTCTTTGTTTCCAGCTGCGAAAAATTATTACAAATACACAAATAAAGATATTATGCTATTAGCATTTTATTATCATCACAAAATTCTATTTTTTCTACTTCTTATTTTATTTGTTAATCTGTGAATTCAGATCGTTTTTATACTGAAATGATCAATTTAAATGATCTTTTCTTTGGCAACAAGAAAATTGTGTTTTTATTTTTTTGAAAGAATGTTGAGTCGTTTCCACAAAACTTATCACTTTTGTCCCTTTTGACATTTAAATAAACACTGAGGACATGAACAGAAAAGAAGAACAATGTACATGTCAGAAAATTAAAATTTACACACACACACACACACGCGGGGAAAGAAAAATTAGGAAAGTCCTGAGGCGAACTATTTTGTAGATATATAAAAGAATAGTGACATACCACCATAATATGCTGTATAATGTATCTTAAGTGCTGAAGAGTCTTGTGATTTACGTATAGCTAGTTTATCATTTACACTTAAATTCTCGCGTGACAAAGCGCGTACCAAAACACCACGCAGTTCCGCTAATGTGCTCGTTGGTATTTTAATATCCGAAATGCTCATTCTTATTATTTTGTTTTGTTGTTTTCTTTCTCTACTTGTGCGACTACTTGTGTCTGTTCTAAATTTACGAGAACTCAATGAGTATTTTTTTTTGTTATTATTATTGCTGCTGTTTCTTTTCTACACGACTAGAGCAACTAATGCTTCTGATCCGCTGTTCACTTTACAGCTTTTTGACATTTACTTAAATTCGTTTAATGAGTATGACTGAGTTTTTCTTTTTCTTGTGGATTTTTTTGCTCTTTTCTATGCGGTGATCTTCTTGTGCGAATAGCAGCAATAAGACTGTCAATTGATGTCACTTGGAGCAGAAAATTTATTCGATAATACCGAAAAGAAAGACCGCGAGACGTAAGATATGATATTTGAGTAATTCACTGCTTAAGAAAACTGAATGACAGCGAGGAAAGACATCAACAAATAACAGAATCAAAAAAAAAAAAAACTATTACGTCACTTTTTGGCTGTGTTTCATTCATTGATCACCACAAACGAAGGAAATTGTGTATAATAATATCTATACACAACAAATGTATAGTATAAGTGCGATGATGTGCAAAAAGACAACAATAAAAAGCAACGTGGGTCTCTTACAGACCATAAAACTATTCAAATTAACTTGCAATTTGATGAATAAAAGATGATGAATCACATAGGAATCTTTTGCTTTATAAGCACCAACTTATTGACGGTAAAGATCACTTCTGAGAGAAGAGGAATTAAATTTGAATATAATTTTGTTTCTTGTTTCAAAATCTGACCGTCCTTCACTCATCGAAGATATTTTAGTAACTAAATGATATCACTGTAAAAATTCCTATTTCATGTAATCGCTCCTTATCTTAGTACACGATAGGAAATGAACTATTCACAAAATATTCTTGGAATGCTTTCAATTCATGTTCTCTTTTTGTGCTCTATTGCTTCTCATTCTCTCTGTGTGACATTCTTATTTAAACAGATCGAAAATAAATTCATTTACGGGTTCTTTTTTTGGGTACGATAAACGCACACTGACACAGAATAACTTATCAATTTTTGTTTTGTGTTCGACTTTAAGCAACCTCTGCAAATAATGCCGATGAACTATTTATACTCTAGTTCTGTAAACAGAATATGGAACTTTTATGCGTGCTTTGTCACCATCACTTGAGACTGATATATTCACTCTATTAAGACAAAACAATTATGCTTCTGATTTACGGCCTGTTTCAACAGAAACTAATAAAAATATTATCGTTTTCACGTCTTTCAGAGGTTCAAACAGAAGGCAGCTTGAGGCTGAATCGAATTGAAATTGACTAAGTTATTTTTTTTTTGTGGTTTGTAATGAACACAAACGTAACACACTATAATAGCTAAGCTCAATTCCTTGAGTCTCTTTTTCTCATTGTCGTGTAGCAACAACTCGTGGTGTGGCCGTACTATGAGAACTGAGAGAATTAACTATCATACAAAACAGTACAACCAACAGTGGTGTAGGTATTAAAATATAATAATATAAATTCATTGGATTCTCGTCCAGCAATCTTTTCGATGAAATTAGAGAATCATTAAAAACAAATGACTCAGACGCCTTTTTCGTAGACTAATCCATTATTTTGAGGAGATGACCATAATTTATTTTGGTTCCTCTAACTATATGGAATATTTATCTATGACGTTTAAAATTATAAGTGGATTAAGTTAAAATTTTTGTACAATGATAAACCTAAAACTGATTCGAGCCTGCAATTAGATCAGCTGCTCTAGATCCATGAACGATTCTTAGAAGTATAATCTACACATAGAGACAAAGTGACAGGATAAACATAGCAGATCACTGAAAAAACTACATCCAAAATGAAAATAGACCTTCTCTCAATTCATGATGGAATTACGAAAATGACACTACAGACAATAATCTTACGTTTCAGATAATCTTGAGAAGTAATTAGTGAAGCTCTTTTAAATTGTCGAAAAAGATCTCCTCTTAATTCGTAATGCACGAGATCTGATTGAATTAACAAAAGAAAGAAAACAAAATGAAGGTATAGAAAATATGGAAAATATTCCCATCAATTCAAGCCGATCATGAAAAAGATCGCGGGTCACAAATACTAAGGAAATAATCTATAATGACGTTGATCGAAATATATTAAAAGCAATGCTGATAAAATAAATTTACAGCATTTCATTAGTGTTGTCATCTTATGTGTGTGATATTTTTATTTATTTTGAGTAATCTCTCGCCAAATGCACAGTCATATGGAGAATGAAGAAAATGAAAACATGATAATCATGCCATCTCGCTTACCGTCACCTGTTTTTAATTCCTCTACCTAACAACTAGATGCAAAGCTATGTAATTTAAAAAATTATAATTCATAACGCATAGCTCAAGAACTGCTTACTATTTATATTATTATTTTTCTCTTAAATGAAATTCAAGACATTTCCTAAAGTCCCAATTAAGTGAAACTTAAAGCAATAAAATGTGAGAGAAATTTTCAAACAATATTCTCTGCCATTGTGTGTGCTCTATGAATGCCGTACTTTTTAAGCCATATTTTTGGTGCTTATTGAAAACAATGTTGTGATTGATCGACAAAGAAAAAGAAAATGCTAGATAACTGTTGAGACTAGTGGGCGTCGTTAGTCGTACCTAATATAAGTTTTTGATTTTTTTTTATTGTTCACTCAATTTTCGCTTACTGGATGTTACAATACTAAGTGCAAACGAAATAGATTTCGTCGAAATTTCTAGATTAATTTTTAAAAACACTATTTTTCTGAGGAATCATGAATTTAAATATGTCGTCCAAATTGGGGTTTTTTTTAACCTATTACTGCGGGTAAGGAATGTCTGAAACCTGTTCTTTCTTTCGAACAAGTCTGAAAGTTTAAGAAGAATATCGTTACATCCAATCTAGGAATCTTTCAGAGCTCTTGCAATCAAAAACTACCCAAAATGGCACATGTAAATATCTTTTGATCCAACAAGATTTTGCCTAACAAGATATCTCAAAAGATCGTGTCAAACGACTCCCCAGTTTCCCCGTCAACGCCCAAAATTAATTGAAACATTTGACAAAAGGTCAGAAAATAATAATTTTTGCCAACATGACACTTCATCATCATGAGAGGTATATTAACAAGAAGTGACAAGTAGGTAGCATTTTACACTTGATTACCGCCGTATGATGATATGTGACGAAGCATGAAATATGGACTAATGCATAAATTTTCTCACACTTTGATCTTGTTTTATCACACTTTCGATCATAAGCATGCAGCAAAATATTTTTTATCTTATCTCTTTCTCCTGATCTATACGACGGAATTTTTTACTTTTCGCTAATATAGTCAACAATAAAAGCTTTTATCGCCGGCATGAGGTTTTTACATTGGCTTGATAATCAAAATTTACAGATAAAAAAAAATCAGATATGTGAAACCGATGAGCTTATGAAAACAGCCGGAAAACACAAGAAATATGTTGTTTAGTTATTAATATTCATCATCAGTAAATCATAAATGTTTTATATGCTCTTTTGACATCTCACATCGACGAACAGACTGTTTAAAGTTTTTCTTCATTCATCCAAATCGTTTTTGTTTTACATGATACTGCAAAAATATTTAAGTGAAAGTTTGCTGCTTGTTGCTATTTTATGTATATTCATTCATTTCATTAGTCAAAAATAAAAGTATTCATCAGTTCCGATTGAATGCAAATGTCATGTCATTAAAGACACAATATTAACCACCATCACGGTTGGCTACCAAAAAAAGGTTTAAATTAATAAACAGAAACGATATCTTACAGGCAAGGAACACCGTGAGTCTATTGGACTATATTATTGCGTATATTTGCAGCGTGTATGTTGTAACATAAGAGCTTACAGTAAGAAGAGGGAAAAAAACATAGTATTACAAAACCTCATTAATCTCATTGCTCATGGATCTTTTTCTTATTGTTTATGTTTGTCGTGTTTAACATTAAAGTTGCGGTTTCAATTCCAGTGGCTTCACAGCTCTCTAGCTGTATGTATGTGCATGTTATCAAACAACATACTAATTACGATTTCACGAGTACTTGCTAACATCTGAATGCCAGCCAGCCTAGTAGCTAGCCTACAGCTTCAAGCTGTTTAAGCTTTCGTTTGTTATTTTCCACTCATTATAACAAATATTGTAGCAGGCAATAAAATACCTCTCTAGGGTCATTCGCTAATGACATCTATCAATTTTAATATTTTTATTATTATTAGTTTATTCTTCATTGTTTCATTCGAGTTTTGGGGAATGAGGTTAATTTTGAGGGATTGAAGGTCTATATGTGCAATTTTTTTCCATGTACATCAAAAGTGAACGACCCTCATGGTAGATAAATTTCTTCTTCATCCATTCATTCATCGCTATTATTTCATTTTTCTTTAAAAATTCGTGATTA